TCCACGATAGCGTCTCGCTTGAGGATTCTGACAACGGTTACAAGCACCATACCAGAATCCCACAGAGGGGGCGGCAGCCCGACGACGCCCGGTGCAGCAGCCGTGTTTCGCCTGAGAGTTCCTTACAGTGTATTCAGGAATCGTGCTCTCGCGTCAATGCCGGCTGATTATTGGTCTAGGCAGGCAGGACCCCTCGTAGCAAATGCACTAAGGTGCACATGGCCGTGTCGTGACATCTTACTCCTCGACCCGCCTCTTCATCTTTGCTGATGTTAGGGTCTCAAGCCCCAACTCGGCGCAGACCAGCTTTGGCTCAAGTGTGCTAGCTGCCTTCTCCAGGATAACCCGAGGCTGTACCACAAGTGTGCTGACTTGAGCGCCTGTGGCGGACTTCTTCAAGCAGCTCTCCATCGGTGCGCGTTGGGGAAAGCTGCGCGGTCAATGCATCGTTCCTGGTGTGGGCTTCTGGCGGCGATCTGTGTGGCCGAGCCTGGCCCAGGCCGCTTGGGCAAGTAAGGCAGACTCGGTTGCTTGCATATTCGGTGAGGCGTCACATTGTGTTTCACTAATGGCTTCAGTTCTCGAGATGCCGCGTTGTTCACGTCTTGCAATTGTGAGATGTTCGTGCGCATCCTCCGCAGTTCCGGAGGGTACTTCATAGTGTGCTGGCGAACGGCGTGCTGATTGAGTGACGCATCTACCTGCGGACGCTCATTCATCGGCACTGTTGTTGGTCTGCTTACACTGGGCGGGCCGTGGGGCTTCGGCTTTAAATTTACTTTGCTATGGTCAAGCTTCCCGTTATCTTTGTGCTGGTCCAGCGGTGATGTGCATTGTCATGCCGGCCGTGGGACTTTCATCGCAAATGCTTTATGCTCGAGGTGGGCCTCGCTATATATTCACTAGAACCACGCGCGCGCTTCGCGCGCGCTTAGGTTCTGTCGAGTCACAGACCCAGGAATCGTTGTGAGAAGAAATTGGTGACGCGAAGCGTCGTGGGGGCGTCCTTGGACGTCTGGGGTCTCCTGGGGCCTCTTGAGGGGCCTCCTGGGGGCCTCCTGGCGGCCTCTTGGGGCGGAAGGCTCGAGCTTGCGGTTCGTGGTCCCCCTCTGGGCCCCCTCTTGGGCCCGTCTTGGGGCCCTCTTGGGCCATCTTGGGCGCCTCTTGGGCCGTCTTGGGGCCCTCTTGGGCTGTCCTGGGGCCCTCTTGGAAGCTTCTTGGGCCGTCTTGGGGCGGTCTTGGGCGCCTCTTGGGCCGTCCTGTAACGTCGGAAAGCCCAAAAGACAACTTTGTTGAAATGTACGTTTTACGAAGGGAATGGGCCAACTTTTGCGTCTAGGGGCCCTCTTGGGACGCATGTTGGAGGCTTCTTGGGGCGTCTTGGGGGCGTCCTTGGACGTCTGGGGTCTCCTGGGGCCTCTTGAGGGGCCTCCTGGGGGCCTCCTGGCGGCCTCTTGGGGCGGAAGGCTCGAGCTTGCGGTTCGTGGTCCCCCTCTGGGCCCCCTCTTGGGCCCGTCTTGGGGCCCTCTTGGGCCATCTTAGGCGCCTCTTGGGCCGTCTTGGGGCCCTCTTGGGCTGTCCTGGGGCCCTCTTGGAAGCTTCTTGGGCCGTCTTGGGGCGGTCTTGGGCGCCTCTTGGGCCGTCCTGTAACGTCGGAAAGCCCAAAAGACAACTTTGTTGAAAATGTACGTTTTACGAAGGGAATGGGCCAACTTTTGCGTCTAGGGGCCCTCTTGGGCCGCATGTTGGAGGCTTCTTGGGGCCTCTTGGGGGCGTCCTTGGACGTCTGGGGTCTCCTGGGGCCTCTTGAGGGGCCTCCTGGGGGCCTCCTGGCGGCCTCTTGGGGCGGAAGGCTCGAGCTTGCGGTTCGTGGTCCCCCTCTGGGCCCCCTCTTGGGCCCGTCTTGGGGCCCTCTTGGGCCATCTTGGGCGCCTCTTGGGCCGTCTTGGGGCCCTCTTGGGCTGTCCTGGGGCCCTCTTGGAAGCTTCTTGGGCCGTCTTGGGGCGGTCTTGGGCGCCTCTTGGGCCGTCCTGTAACGTCGGAAAGCCCAAAAGGCGACTTTGTTGAAAAATGTACGTTTTACGAAGGGAATGGGCCAATTTTTGCGTCTAGGGGCCCTCTTGGGACGCATGTTGGAGGCTTCTTGGGGCGTCTTGGGGGCGTCCTTGGACGTCTGGGGTCTCCTGGGGCCTCTTGAGGGGCCTCCTGGGGGCCTCCTGGCGGCCTCTTGGGGCGGAAGGCTCGAGCTTGCGGTTCGTGGTCCCCCTCTGGGCCCCCTCTTGGGCCCGTCTTGGGGCCCTCTTGGGCCATCTTGGGCGCCTCTTGGGCCGTCTTGGGGCCCTCTTGGGCTGTCCTGGGGCCCTCTGGGAAACTTCTTGGGCGGTCTTGGGGCGGTCTTGGGCGCCTCTTGGGCCGTCCTGTAACGTCGGAAAGCCCAAAAAGCAACTTTGTTGAAAAATGTACGTTTTACGAAGGGAATGGGCAAATTTTTGCGTCTAGGGGCCCTCTTGGGACGCATGTTGGAGGCTTCTTGGGGCCTCTTGGGGGCGTCCTTGGACGTCTGGAGGCCATCTTCAGCATCTCGGAGCCCTCTTGGAGGCCTCTTGGAAGTTTCTTGGGCCGTCTTGGGCGCTTCTGGGGCCGTCTTGTCTGACCGGGGAGGCCTCCGGCAAGCCCCGACGAGCCTCCGGGCCCCCCGGGGCGCACATTTGTGGTCGAGGTCCCGGCCCTCTTGGGACGCATGTTGGAGGCTTCTTGGAGCCTCTTGGGGGCCTCCTTTGGGCCTCTTGGGGGTCTCCTGGGGCCTCTTGAGGGGCCTCCTGGGGGCCTCCTGGCGGCCTCTTGGGGCGGAAGGCTCGAGCTTGCGGTTCGTGGTCCCCCTCTGGGCCCCCTCTTGGGCCCGTCTTGGGGCCCTCTTGGGCCATCTTGGGCGCCTCTTGGGCCGTCTTGGGGCCCTCTTGGGCTGTCCTGGGGCCCTCTTGGAAGCTTCTTGGGCCGTCTTGGGGCGGTCTTGGGCGCCTCTTGGGCCGTCCTGTAACGTCGGAAAGCCCAAAAGACAACTTTGTTGAAAATGTACGTTTTACGAAGGGAATGGGCCAATTTTTGCGTCTAGGGGCCCTCTTGGGACGCATGTTGGAGGCTTCTTGGGGCCTCTTGGGGGCGTCCTTGGACGTCTGGGGTCTCCTGGGGCCTCTTGAGGGGCCTCCTGGGGGCCTCCTGGCGGCCTCTTGGGGCGGAAGGCTCGAGCTTGCGGTTCGTGGTCCCCCTCTGGGCCCCCTCTTGGGCCCGTCTTGGGGCCCTCTTGGGCCATCTTGGGCGCCTCTTGGGCCGTCTTGGGGCCCTCTTGGGCTGTCCTGGGGCCCTCTTGGAAACTTCTTGGGCGGTCTTGGGGCGGTCTTGGGCGCCTCTTGGGCCGTCCTGTAACGTCGGAAAGCCCAAAAGGCGACTTTGTTAAAAATGTACGTTTTACGAAGGGAATGGGCAAATTTTGCGTCTAGGGGCCCTCTTGGGACGCATGTTGGAGGCTTCTTGGGGCCTCTTGGGGGCGTCCTTGGACGTCTGGGGTCTCCTGGGGCCTCTTGAGGGGCCTCCTGGGGGCCTCCTGGCGGCCTCTTGGGGCGGAAGGCTCGAGCTTGCGGTTCGTGGTCCCCCTCTGGGCCCCCTCTTGGGCCCGTCTTGGGGCCCTCTTGGGCCATCTTGGGCGCCTCTTGGGCCGTCTTGGGGCCCTCTTGGGCTGTCCTGGGGCCCTCTTGGAAGCTTCTTGGGCCGTCTTGGGGCGGTCTTGGGCGCCTCTTGGGCCGTCCTGTAACGTCGGAAAGCCCAAAAGACAACTTTGTTGAAAATGTACGTTTTACGAAGGGAATGGGCCAATTTTTGCGTCTAGGGGCCCTCTTGGGACGCATGTTGGAGGCTTCTTGGGGCCTCTTGGGGGCGTCCTTGGACGTCTGGAGGCCATCTTCAGCATCTCGGAGCCCTCTTGGAGGCCTCTTGGAAGTTTCTTGGGCCGTCTTGGGCGCTTCTTGGGCCGTCTTGTCTGACTGGGGAGGCCTCCGGCAAGCCCCGACGAGCCTCCGGGCCCCCCGGGGCGCACATTTGTGGTCGAGATCCCGGCCCCGGGCCCCCGGACCCGGTGCGCCGTTATATGTATACTCGTGTATGGCGTTGACGAGGGCGTGGTGCAGTATTTTTGCCGCAAGGTTGTCAGGGCCTTCCTCAAGGTCTTCGCGGTGCTCGTGCTGGCGTCGCCCGACCGGAGTTGCTCTGCATGGTTGATGGAACATGTGCTGCTGATAGCAGGTTCCTTCACTGGGGTAGCTCGCTCCGGAGCTCAGCCCACCCGAGGTCCCAGCGAGCTGCCTCGCTACAACCCTCTACACACTCCAGATTTCGTAATAAAAGGGAGGGGGTCTGGACCCTCCAAGACAAGCCACTTCAGGCCTCCCCCGTGGGAGAACCCTCCAACGCATCGTCCCCAGACCTCCCTGGGCCCTCCAAGATGGCCCGGAAGCGACCCCCCCCCGAAATGAGACCCCCCTCCCTTTCTTACGAAATCTACATATATCCAGGGGATCGGGGACCGCGAGCCCAAAGGGGCCCTCCCTCGGCCTCAGGACCCGAACAGAAAGAAGCTCTCAACAAGGGCTCGGGCTTCCAACGACGGAGCGATGACCGGGGAGGTTGAGGAGGAAAAGGAAAGGAGGAAAAGGAGGAGGAGGAGGAGGAGGAGGAGGGAGGAGGAGGAGGGAGGAGGAGGAGGAGGAGGCAGGAGGAGGAGGCAGGAGGAGGAGAAGGCAGGAGGAAGGAGGAGGAGGAGGAGGGGGAGGATGGAGGGAGGATGGACGAGGGAGGAGGGAGGAAGAAGTAAGGAGGAGGCAGGAGGGAGGAGGAAGGAGGAGGAGGGGGATGCAGGAAGAGGGAGGAAGGGGGGAGGAAGGAGGTGTAAGGAGACAGGAGGAGGGAGGGAGGCAGGAGGCAGGAGGGAGGGACGTCGGAGGGCATGCCTCATGAGGTCCCACTTCTCCCCGTTCTTGGAGTGCGGCGGCAGGCCAGACCCGAACGCGGAACGCTCACCATCGAAGTCGAGGGCGTTGAACCTGCGGTTCGGCCCGCGGGCGACGACGGAGGCGTTCGGAAGCAAAAGATCGTTTGTAGCTGTCCCAGCCCTGCGGCGTTGGGCTCTGATCCTGAACAGAGCACGGCGGTCGCGTCTCCTCGTTCTTCCCGCCTCCCTCCTCTGAACGTTCCCTCCTGCCCTTTGCCCCGCTCTCGTGCCTCCGACCTGCCTGCCAGCCTGGCTCCTAATTACCTCCACGCTTTCGAGGGCTGCTGCGGGGGGGGTCCAGCGGAGAAGCGTCGTCAGGCCCAGATTCGACCTGGACATCCCTGGGGGGGGCCTGCAAACTGCGGAACTTTCGACAAGCTCGAGGGCTGCTGGGGCGTCCAGCGGAGTGATGTTTCACACAGACTTAGATTAGACCTCGCCGTCCCTGGGGTAGCGTCGGACTGCGAACATGCCGAAACTTTCGAGGGCTGCTGAGGGGTCTAGCGGAGCGACGTATTGCCGCAGTCCTAACCTGAACCTCGCCATCAATGGGGGGCTGCGAACTGCGAATCTGTCGTCACGTTCAAGGGCTGCTGGGGGGTCCAGCGGAGTGAAGTCCTACGCAGACCTAATTGAGATCTCGCCATCCCTGAAGGTCTGCGAATTGCGAAACTGCCCCATCTTTCTGCGCCACGTGTCGAGCCGGACGCATTTACGAGGGTCCTGGGGCGCGAATCTGCCAAAACGCACGTTGCCCAAAACGACTGCAACGCCAGGATCTCATGAAGAAGGGGAAGACGGTGGTGGGGTTCGATGGCAACGCATAGGACCCTCCCATACCATCTTGCCGACTCCTGCGGATCGACGCTAATCGAAGCTAAAACGATGCTATTCGACACTAGTCGGCGCTAATCGACGCTAAATCGACGTTAGTCGACGCTAGCCGACGCTAAATCGGCACATATCATCGACTCCCAGGCGCTAACCGACGCTAACCGACGCTAACCAAAAAACACGAGGGCACCATGCACCAGGCTCCCATGATTTGCCACCGAAAGATGGAGGTGTGGGAAAGGGGGAGCCAATCGCCGCTGTTGTAGCTGTCCCTGTCCAGCGACTTCGACCGCAGCACCTCGGGGGCGACGGGAGCACGACGGGCAGGGGGAGGGCCACCCCGCGCGCAGCCCCGGGGGCACACACGTCGGAGGCCACCGCTCACGACGACCAGAAACCGCCGCTGGCGCGGGCTTCGCAACAACTTATCCTGGCGAAGGACCCAGCCATCTGGAGTTGTGGGCACCGCGGTTGTGAATATCTTCTTCGGTGAAGCTCCCTATGGGGGGCCACGAAGCGCTGCGCTGGGCGGGGGGGAACGCATGCGGGCGGTAGCACTGGGGCCGTCGGTGAAGCTCCCTATGAGGCCACGAAACGCTGCACTGGGTGGGTGGAAATACCAAATTAGGCGTGTGGGACGCATGCAGGCGGTCCCACTGGGGGCTTCAGTGGAGCTCCCCATGGGGCCGCGAAGCGTTGTAAAGGGTGGGTGGGGATGCCAAATTGCGTGTGGGGGACGCATGCGGGCGGCCCCACTGGGGGCTTCGGTGGGGCTCCCTATGGGGCCACGAAGCGCTGTACTGGGTTTGCGACAATGCCACAATGGGTGCGGGGGACGCATGCGGACGGTCCCACTGGAGTCTTCGGTGGAGCTCCCTGTGGGGGACGCAGTGGGCTAAATGCCAAATTGGATGTGGGGGACGCATGTGGGCGGTACCACTGGAGGCTTCGGTGAAGCTCCCGATGAGTTCATGAAGCGCTGTACTGGGCGGGTGAACATGCCAAAATGGGCGTGGGGGACGCATGCGGGCGGTGCCACTGGGGGCTTCGGTGGAGCTCCCTATGGGGCCACGAGGCGCTGTACTGGGCGGGTGACAATGCCAAATTGGGCGTGGGGGACGCATGCGGGCGGTCCCACTGGGGGCTCGGTGACAATGCCAAGTTGTTTGTGGGGACGCATGCGGGCGGTCCCGCTGGGGGCTTCGGTGGAGCTCCCTATGGGGCCACGAAGCGCTGTACTGGGTGGGTGAAAACGCCAAATTGCGTGTGGGGGACGCGTGCTGGCGGTCCCACCGGGGGCTTCGGTGGAGCTCTCTATGGGGCCACGAAACGCTGTACTGGGTGGGTGACAATGCCAAGTTGCGTGTGGGGGACGAATGCGGGCGGTCCCACAGGAGGTTTCGGTGGAGCCCCCTATCGGGCCACGAAGCGCTGCACTGGGTGAGTGAAAACGCCAAATGGCGCATGGGGGACGCATGCTGGCGGTCCCACTGGAGGCTTCGGTGGAGCTCCCTATGGGGCCACGAAACGCTGTACTGGGTGGGTGGGAATGCCAAATTGGGCATGGGGGACGCATGCGGGCGGTCCCACTGGGGGCTTCGGTGGAGCTTCCTATGGGGCCCCGAAGCGTGTGAGGGGTGTCCCCAATTGGGTGTGGGGGACGCATGCGGGCGGTGGAGAGGAGGAGGGGGAAGAGGAGGAGAAGAGAAACGCGGGGACCCTCTCTTCAAAACGAGGACCCAACGCCACAAGATGGTTGGGGAAAAATGTGCTGGAAATTATTTGGCAACACGCTTCCTCTCCACTGATCGTCTTCCACAACGCTCGGGCCTCTAACATCTGGTTCTCGGTCCCTGCCCCGCCAGAAGAACCGAGCCCGGATGAGAAGCCGACCCCAGCGAAAGGAATCGAGAATCGAGATCCCTCGGGGGCTTTTCCTTCGTCGGCGGCGAGGCGGAGGCGAGCCGTTCCAGTGTCGGGCTCATCGGGGGCACCGATAGGCGAATTGTCCAGCGTGCAGGAGAACGAGAAATAGGACAAATCCCTGGGGGCTCACACCACGAACAAAAATTGCGACGACGAAGAAGCGGGTGGACGACGCGATGCCAACCGTGAACCCGACCAGATCGGCAGACACTCTGCGCGTGCTGGCATGCGCGGCGGCGAGTAATTATCAAGCTGGATTGGTACACGGCTGGCCTCGTCCAAGAGCAGGGGGGAGCGAGACAGGGAGGGACAGAGGGGCATGGAGACAACTTCTGGGATGTCGTGGTGACGATGAACTACCACTCAGCCCGGTTGGGGCCAGAGGACTATCACGCCAGACTGAGACCCAGACTGAGTGAGCCAAGGTCTACACCAAACGAAACCGGACTGGAATGGATGAGCAGGCTTATGCCGTTTTAGATTGGGTTCGGACCGAGGAGATGTCTGGGCCGATGCTCACCTCAACGATCTACTCTGCGTTAACCCCCAAAGCCTGGAGATGCGTGGACCGAGGTTCCTGCACGCGCGTGGTGTTGGGCCTTCGGAATCCGCGGGGGACCTCCAGACATCAGTGGAAGGAGGGGTGAGTACGGACGGACAGGCGCCGGTGTCCGCGACCGCATGCCTGTGCACGCGGCCGCGCACCTCGAGGAGGAGGAGGAGGAGGAGAAGTGCGAGGAGGAGGATGATCACCCTTGTATTCCACCCTGTCTCCAGCTCTACTTTGAGGTCAACGTTAAAGGGGTGAAGCGATGGCATGCGAAAGCACAAAGCCGAAACGACCAAGACGCCAAGGACAACCCTTGATGTGGCACTGCATCCCCGCTGCCGCCTCTGCCTGCAAGGGAGGGAGCCCATTTCGGTGGCAACTCACGAGAGCCTCCCAACCCATCTTGCTGGTTTTTACGAACCGACGCTCATCGGCGGCAATGCGCTCTCAGACGGAATTTCGAATACTAGGCCCCCATGATCTGCGACCGAACGCCTCTGCCTGCGAGGGAGCTCATGGATCACTGGCACCGACGAGGTCCACTGGCGAGGCCAGGGATGCTGAGATGTGCCACCTCGGGCCTGACATCGCGACGTGTCAGGAGCGCGGTCGCCTGCTCCTGCAGTCCGTGGTCTTTCACGGCCCCGGGGCAGGCGCTGAAGGGCCCCAGGGGGGAATGGGAGGGGAGCACCAGGCTATCTCTCCCCCAGCTCGAAACAAGCCTGCTGCCCCCGTGGTTCGGGAGCGGCCAAGAGGGGGGTGTCCAAGAGGGGGGGGTGCAAATCATGACCGGCGACATGTGCGCGGCCCAGCGGGGGGCCAGGGACGTAATGAAATAGAAGGGACCCCATGAAATCTGAGGAAATATCATGGCCCCCGCCGCCCCCGAGTGGTTGTCGCCTGAAGCGCGCCGCCCGGGAAGCGCGAGACGAGAGGGAGGAGGAGAGCGGAGGAGGACGAGGGCACGGTGTGCAGGGACGGGGGGGGGCACCAGGGAGGAAGGTCAGGAGGGCGGCAAGCTCATGGGGGGGGGGACGAGAAGGGAGGAAGGAGAGGGAAGACAAGGGGGCCCTTGCTGCCAGGGGTAGGAATGCGTGTGAAAGGTCTGGCTGGTTCCATCCCCCGTTCCAACCCCCCGGAGACAAACATCCTGTCCAGTGGAGGGGCAAGAGCTCCTCGACGCACCTCCAAGGCCCTCAGAGCCTCCAATTCCAGCCTCCGGCGATGCCAGAATAGAACGGCACAGATGCCGTGCAAGACGGCCCAAGCAGGGCTCCAACACGCCTAAGAGCCCTCAAGAACAACTCAAGAGGCACTAAGAGACCTCGTGATAGTCCAAGGAGGTCCCGAGAGGGTGCCCTCTGCGGGGCGCGCCCAAGACGCTCCCACGGGACCCCCAGGGGCCACCTGGAGGCTTCAGAGAGAATCCGACCGAGCGACTGGGGGCCGCTGCATCCTCCCCCGAGCCAGTCCCCGCATCGCGGCGACGGCCGTCAAGGTGGCCCCGCTGATCTTGGGATGCTACACGTCATTGCACTGGCCTTGCAAGCGCGCTGCCGCGGATTTCCGCGTGGGGTTATGCGTGGATGTTTGCCCGAAACGGTGAGCGAAAAACGACGTGAATTTCATGTGGATGTTGTTGGTCTTCATTCCTGGCCCAAAAGATCCGCACGAAATTCAATTCGAAATCCGGAACGATATCATCCGGGACTCTCCGCGCCCATCCGATCGTTTTTCGAGCGAAATCCGCTCTGCGATGTTGGCGCCATGATACATGCAGCCTGCGTGGAGGGCCTGCCTCCAGGACAAGGAGCAGAACGGCTGGACTTAGGTCGGGCAAGCCCCCCTACAGGCGGACTTTGGATGAAACATCAAAAAATATTCCGAAACAGACACAAACAAATGAAACCAATTGCAAATGCGGGGGGGAACAAAAACGTCCCAGACTATTGTTTTGACTATGTTTGAATATTCCTCCTGCAGACATGCCCGAATGAATACCAGACGCAACGGCGCTGCGCTGGGAGGAGGACTGCCGTGCTGCCGATGCGCACGGGAGGCGCGAGGCCCTTCGTGGCAGGGCGCCCCTCCGGGCTTGGCCACGGTCATCGTCAGTCTCTTTGTTCGCGAGCCCGTCGCCCTCCCCCCCCCACCCGACGCTGCCCTTAGGTTTATGTTGCTCCCATCGTACTTCAGGACCACATCCTAGAGAAATAAGTTCGAGCACCCAGAAAAGTGTCGAAAGAGTGTCGAACTAGTGTCGAAACAGTGTCGAAGGAGTGTCTCCCAGGGCCAGACACGTGAAAACCCCTCGGGTTTAGGGGGTGTTTTCTTGGTGCTCGACATTTATTCTGGTGATTAAGGCTAAAGTAGGTTGGAACATCATAACCTTAGGTCGGGCATGTCCCCCACGGGCGGATTCTGGACGAAAAGTCTTAAAATAGTCAGAGAATTTCGTTCCAAAATGGCCAGACTTGGTCAAATATCGTCCCCAGACCATTCTTGGTGACTGGCTTTGACTCATTACGACCCCTGTCCAGGGACCAACCCAGGGGAGCCCAGAATCGAATCGATAAGTCGGATCGGCGATCGAAATAAGTCGGATCGGCAGAAATCGGCAGCCGAGTCGGAAAAAGTCGAATCGGCGGAAATCGGCAGGCTAGTATGCGTCCAAAAAGAAATCGGAGCCCAAATCGGAATCCGAAATCGAATCGAATCGGATCGGAATCCATCGGAGTCGAATCGAATCGAATCGGAGGATTCGAAACGAGCCCTGCCAACCCGATTGGACGCTGCCCCCGAGCCGCCGCCCAAAAAAAATGGCGCCGCCTCGTCGCCCGCGTGCAGGAACGGCACGCCGTGCGCCAGGAGCACCACCGCCGAGCAGAGCCAGTTCGCCCGCGCGCGCTCCTGCGCCGCTTTTGGCAAGAGGGACTACTTCGGCGGCGAGCCCGGGGGGGGGAAGCATGATGGGCTTGTTTTCCACCACCACCACCATAAGTTGGAAGGAGAGGAGGAGGAGGAGGAGGAGGATGAGGAGGAGAAGGAGGAGGAGGACGAGGAGGACAAGGAGGAGGAGGAGGAGGAGGAGGAGGACCCCCTCCCCCTCCAACTTATGGTGGTGGTGGTGGAAAACAAGCCCATCAAAGCAGGCCTCCTCAGAAGGCTCGGAAGTCACCTGGCCTTTTGCAGCAGCAGGAAAAAACATCTGGCCATAAACTGTTGGCGCTCCGCGTGGATTCCTTGGATCCGCGCGCCGGGGGGCCCAGGCGCGGATCCAAAAGATCCGCGCGGAGCGCCAACAATTTATGTTTTTATGTTTATGTGGTTTTCGATTATGAACAGTGTTCTACTTAACCCTTCCCCGAAGACAGAGAAAACCTCTGAAAGTCCGGAGGGCTTCTGAGAAGCCCCGCCGCCTTCTGAGAAGGCCTTCTCCTTCTCATTTCCCTCCCTGGCTCGCCGCCGAGTAATGCTTTCGTCGCCCTCGGCTCTTCATCGTCTTTGGCCCAGGGGGCCCGCTTTCGGGCCCTGGGGCCGTCAGAAACGAACCCCGGAAGAAAGAAAACTGCACCACTCCTCGAGATCAGATGCAAGGTGCTTCCCGCGACGTGGCGGCGCCCATGGACCCTCAATATCAACGTTCGCGCCATTCCTGGCGACTATCATGTCTCTTCGGACCCCGCCGGCCGCGTTGCGTGCGTCGATCAACACTGAAAACCGGGGGCGAGAGGGTTGGGTAAAACTTGTGTCTGATTTCAAGGCGGGCTGTACCCCCAGACAAGTCCCCCGGGCGACTCTTCCACACGACCTGCACATGGGACGCACAAGGACATGCTAGTACCATGTGTCCCCCTTGGAGGCATGCGCCCGAGCCGCACATGTAGTATCAGCATCTTGTAGTATACAGTTTCCCCGAGCGGTACGGCCAGAAAGCCCCCGCAAAGGAGCCTGTGCCATTCGGCGGCAACTCGTGGGAGCCTCCCACCCCGTCTTGTCGGCTCTTGCGAGTCGACGCTCAACGACGCCAAATCGACGCTCATCGACGCTCAATCGACGCTAGCCGACGCTACATCGGCGCGCTATCTCATCGGCTCCTGGACGCGGATGGGCGCCAGTCGACGCCAACCGACGCGACGACGGAAATTCCGCGGGTACATATCGTGGGCTCCCACGATTGGGGCTGCCGAGTGTACTCTCGGACTCTTCTCGGCGCGCGCGTCGCCCCCCCTGGAAGGCGACGAGCACGTATAGTACTAGTATCAGGGCTGAACCTACACGGCGTTTTTCGTGTTCGTTTTGTTCTCGTTCTCCCTCGTTTTATCTCCAATCCGCCTGTTAACGCAAAACGACATCGAAACGAAAACGGCCCACGAAGTCGCCAAGACACCGCTTAGGTCCACCCCTGATTTAGTATGTGGGGGGGGGGCGCCGAGGCCCTCGGGGATCCTCTGGCCTGGGGTCCGGCCAGACCCGGGTCAGCCAGGCCCTGCAGAATCCTGCAGGCTCCCGCACGGTCCTGCTCCCAAGCCCTGGTCAAAAATGCGAAGGAGCCTGCAAGCTCCTGCGCCCAAGCCCGGGCCAGTGCGACCCTGGCCCTGCAGGATCCTGCAGGATCGGGCGCGCCCGACCTCATGGTAGTGGGGGGTGGCCCCAACCCCGACCTTCCAGAGTGCTAAAAACTAGCACTCCAGACCTATAAACCGATCTGGACTGCCTCAAACCTCGACAGGAATTAGGACGTCGATGCCCTGGTGCTATTTTTTAGCCCTCCTGGGAGGTCAGGGAAGGGGGGGGGGGGGGGCGCAACAAAAGGGCTCTAGAACATGGGGCCCCATGGGGCCCCTCTTGGGCACCCACTGGCTCCCAAAGGAGCCCTGAAGGACCCGTCTAGGGCCTCTCTCGGCACCCCCCCATGCGGGTCGCCCCCCCTTGCAGTCCGCCCGCATGGCGAGGATGGGCCACCTTCCCGAGGGTGCCCTCGCATCCTTCGTCCTTGCCCCTTCTGCCCAGCCTCGACCACCTTCCCTGGCCGCGCCCCCGGGCGAAACGCCTCGAGGTGGCCTGCCAAGGCCCCTGCATGCTTGTCCTGCGTCCCTGCCCTTCTCTGCGGTCATAGATTGTCGCATGAGCTTGCCTCTGGCAGGTCGGCTCGCGTAGGGATCCCAGTTTGCCTGGCGGTCTTCTGCTTCGCGCGACTGCGCCATTCACGCCGGTACGTGATTCAGTCACCGCGCCATCGCCACGTCTTCTTCTCCCGGGGAAAAAATACTGATCCTGCGTCCTTCTGCCAGTTTGAAGTCGGGCCTGCCCCCCTACAGGCCGATTTTAGACGCAAAATTAAAGATACCCCAAACCATACTCGAAGCATGCTCAAAAGTGGTCCAAACATCGTCCCTCGACTAGTTGTGGACTACTTCTGGATATTCCCCCCTGAAGGGGGGCCAGCCCGGCTGCAGGGCAGCTTTTCATACATAGGATGTTGAACATATGGTTTTAAAACATGATTACTTCATGAATAAATTTATGCATGACCTCATCGTTGTTTTTAGTACTGTGTTAAAAACGGCACTGTAATGCCAGCCGCGGGTCGACTGCGCCACCCGCCCGACCACTGAGCCTCGGGACGCTGCGGCGTCGGGCTCCCGCGCGGAGGGGCCGCGCGCACGGCGCCCGGCCCTCGCGCGAGCCGCCGCCCGGAGAGGTCGTGAGGTCCTCCTCCTCCTCCTCCTCCTCCTCCTGCTCCCCTTCCTCCTGCTCCCCCTTCCTCCTCCTTCTCCTCCTCCTCCTCCTCCGCCTCCTCCTCCGCCACGTCTTTATTTACCTGCGACGTCTTATCACGCATCCCGTCACCCTCGAGGGCCGAGGTATCCAGGGTCGGCGGCACTGGCCGTAAGGCCTTAGCAATAATCGACAAGTCGCCCCCTCACAATGTGCGAAAATGGGCACAAGAAAGCCCACCATTTTGGAAAACTCTTCCCGTGGAGGCACGCGCACGACTCGACAGCACCACCCGCCCGAGATCGGGCGCGCGCCCACGCGTGGACCAGGACAGGCACAGGCGCACGAGGCCGTGCACCCCGAGAGGGCGCAGAGGCACAGGCGCCACGAGGCGTGCCTCGTGGCACGCTCGCGAGGTACGGTCGAGGGCCCGGCCACAAGAGACCGTCCCGAGAAGCCCGACCCTGAGACCCCAGGACGTCCAGCGGCTCCTGGCGTGGGGACGTCACGCCGTCCATAGCAAAACCATCGAAACGGAAGAAACCCAGGGCACCCTGGAGGCAAGCAGGGTGTTTCTTGGCATGGGTTCCCACTGTAATGGCGAGCTCGCGAGATCGTGGATCAGAGATCCGTGGATCTGGCGCGCTGGGCGCCAGATCCATGGACATCGGGGAGCGTCACCCCTGGAACACGGCGCCAACGCCGCCCGACCTAGCGACGGAGCGAGTCGAATTCGCACGGAAACGGGGCCCCGTCGCTCATTCACGCGCCCTTCGGGGGGACGTAAAGGTGGGGTGGGGGCAAAGGTGGGGCTTGCCCCTGGAGAAAGTGAACGTTCGACCACAATAAACATCCCACACGAAACCAAACTACGGCGGCAATCCGCCCGCGTCGCGCGGGCGAGCTGCTGCCGTCATCGCCTCGCATCTTGCCGCCGTTGCCATCTGGTCGTCGTCGTCGTCATCGTCGTCGTCGACGTCGTCGTGGTCGCCGCCGAGCACCGAGATTCGAGAATCTTCGGGCGGATTACGCGTTTCCGTTCCGCCAGCACAGTTACCTCTGTTTCGGCAGCCCTCCGCCAGCGCAATTACCCTGCCTAGCCGCCGACGCAAAAGCTCCAAGTCTGGGTGGAGAACTGCATCGACTCACGGCTGTTTCGGGGGCGGTCAGGAAGGGGGCGTCAAGGGGGGGGGGGTGCGCAAAACGTGGCCGGCGGCCCGTGCGCGGCCCAGGGCGGGGGGGGGGCAGGGACGCAGTGAAACAGGAAGAGGCGCCTTGAAATCTGGGGATGCATCATGGCCCCCCGCCAGGATGTCCCCCCCTCGTCTTACGATGTTCCAACCTACTCGAGCCTTACCACCAGACAGAAGTCCAGGCACCAAGAAAGCTGAAACTTGGGGTTTTCACATGTCGGGCCATGGGAGGCGATACTCGTTCGACACGTCGCTAGCGTGTCGGGCAGACACTGTTTCGATCCTTTTTCTGGGCGCTCGAAGTCATTTTTGGGATCCTTAAGTACGATGGGAACAATCTAACCCCATCCCCCCCTCTTGGCCGCCCCCCGGGCTGTGTCGGCCTCCAACGGGGGCCTCCTGCGGGCCCCGGGACTGCTCACACAGACTACCCAGAAACAAAACAAAGAACTGCTCGGGGGAACGGGCCCAGACCCCCAGGAGCCCCCCTTCTTTATATACACCCCACCACCACCACCAACAACAACAACAGCAGCACCAACAACAACAACAGCAGCACCAGCACCACCACCAACAACAACAGCAAAACAACACATCCTGTTCGATATACACAACCCAACAATCCTTTTTCAAAAACAACCAGCACACAAAATAAACAACAACGCCGCAGGCCCCCCGGCCAGGTCGAGCGGAGCCGATCCGAAAACGAACCCCTGGAGGCCGAACGCGAGGGAAGTCGCCCAGACTGTGCGGAACTAGAAGCGTGTCACGAAATAGCAGATATGTCAGCAGCGCTGGAGAAACATCATCAGCAGCATCACCATCACCATCATCACCATCACCATCACCATCACCATCACCATCACCATCATCATCATCATCATCATCATCATCATCATCATCATCATCATCATCATCATCACCATCACCATCATCATCATCATCAGCAGCATCATCATCATGGTCATCATCATCATCATCATCATCATCAGCACCATCATCATCATCATCAGCATCATCATCATCATCATCAGCACCATCATCATCATCATCACCATCATCATCAGCAGCATCATCATCATCAGCATCGTCACCACAGCCATCATCATCACCATTGACCAGCATCATCCTCAGCATCAGCATCACCAGTATCATCATCATCACACGCATCAGTATCATCATCAGCATCATCATTAGGAACATCATCATCATCATCAGCATCATCTGTTCATCATCATCAGCATCAGCATCATCATCCTCAGCATCACCATCACCATCATCATCATCATCATCATCATCATCATCAGCATCATCATCACCATCATCATCAGCATCAGCACCATCATCACATAGGGTCTGGGTTCGAAGGTCCAGGCTCATGGGCCCTGGGCGCGTTTGAAGTGCAACGACAGGGGGGGACCAGCTCTCAAAGGGGGGGAACCATCGAGCTGGAATCGGCGACACGTCGCCGATACATCGGCGATAAGGCACCAGTGGTGAAACCGCACGATCCTGGGCGGGATGGACTATCGAACTCCTATCGGTGGTGAACGCGGGCGTTCGGGAGCCGGACTGTCGTCGAACCTCCGAGGGGGGCCCAGGAGGGCCCCAGGACGGCCCAAAGAGGGGCCCCGGAAGGGAAACTCCCCACGGAGGAGGAGGAGGAGGAGGAGGAGGAGGAGGAGGAGGAAGAGGAGGAGGAGGAAGGAGGAGGAGAGGAGGGAGGAGGAGGAGGAGGAGGAGGAGGAGGAGAGGAGGAGGAGTGGAGGAGGAGGAGGAGGAGCCCTGAGGCCGCCAGGAGGCCCCACGCACGCGCCCAGAGGCCCCCTCGGGGCCCCCGGGAGGGGGCCCCCCCAGGGGGCCTCGGAGAGACTCCGAGGGGGGCCCCCAGCAGGCGTCGGAGACGCCCCCGAGGGGAGGAGGGGAGCGTCCTCGGGGCTGAAGAGGCTCGGAGGCATCTTCCACACGGTGTTGTCGTACAGCGTCTCGTTGTCGTGCGCGGAGACGTAGTTGACGGCCTTGACTTCGGGGGGGAGGGGGGGCAATGCCTGGCTGCCCGCGACTCTTGCGGGGAAAGCCGCTCGAGTGGAGCCTCCAATCCTTGCCGTCTTAGCCCGTGCCGTCTTGGTCGTCGTCGTGCTCCTCCTGTTCGATCCTCGAGGTTCGAGGTTCGATGAGTCACATATACTGGCCTCTAGTGCTTGCGCCGCAACAAGGGCATTCCACTGATCGTTC